GCAGGCTCAAGGGAGGCTGCCCACACGCAACACTGGCATATAGGCAGAGAGGGCGAGGGGGCGGGGATCTTGGCCATTGCGAGCAAGGCCGGCACGCTGCTGCATTGCGAGTGTGCCTGCGCTGCATTAGGCTGAGTGAGGGCAGGCTGGCGCTAAGCGGTGGAGCGCAGCCTGGGCGCAGGGCGCTGGCGGCCATAGCCGGGCTGCCTGTGGGCGCAGAGGAGGTGAAGGGCAAAGGTGGTTCTTCGGAGGTGTAGGGCGCTGTGTGGGATAACAAGGGAGAGTGAGGGTGAAGAAAGAGACGTACCTGGTGGAGAGGAGGTCGRCATTGGTGTTGACATCATCACYCRTTGGTCGTCAAGTTGTCYGGTTGCTTCCATGCTGTAGTTGTAGTGATAGGCTGTAGAGTAGGTAGGGCGCCTGGCGCCATTCAAGAGAGAGAGCTACATTGGGTTATGCTGTTGGTGTTGCCCGATTGGGCTTGGACATTGACTCACGATTCTTCTGTATCGTTCTCAAATGGATGGTTACTCGGTTCCATTGTGCTATCTGCTCTTGCTTTGACTACTTGGACTTCAGTGTGATTTTGCAACTTGGATTTCTGTGCTTCGTCCATACTCATGTTCCTTGCATTTTGGTATCAGAGCTGGTTCGATTCGCTGCTTAGCTCGTGCGCCGCGTTATACAGACTTGGTGCGTTGACGATGCTTCTTCGCAGTTGGTACTTGTGATGTGGGCACAAATATAGGCACGCAGCCTGGGTAGAGAGGCGCGTGCCGGAAGGCTATACGGCATGGATTGCCGTGGTTACTGCGGAATGTATGATTGGTGATGAGAGCATGCTGATGTGGCATTTAGCTGAGGTGGCACTGCATTACGTTGTGGGTGGTACCGAGGCTTACGACCGGTCATCAAATGCACACTCAGCTCAATTGGTGAGAAATCTGTGGTTGGGGGCAGCTATCTCCAGGTACGTTGTTCCCTTACCTTATCAACCCTCTCAATCTCTTCTTACCACGAGGAAGGGAGTCCAACTTGAGAGTCCTCTCTTTTGGTGAGGTGTCGAATGCGCGCTACCTTGAGAGACGACAATCTTCCCGGAAGCATCTGGAAGGAGAAAGGGCGGTGCCTCTGAAGGGCCCTGGTCGAAGCACTTGGGTCACGGTCACCATGCCAACCCAATGGGAGTAGGTCACGCATGCGATGGCTGCTTGTCCATTTTGGCACTTTGCTGCGCTATAGAAGTCGTGCCGGGTGTGCCAGCCCATAAGAGACGCTTACCAGACCGTCTATAAATACTTCTGGTTGGGGAATCGGTGTTGATACTGGTTGTGATCGTCGTCCTGACTGCGACGTTAAATAATTCCTGAGGAGATGGGGGCTCTCCTTAAATCCCTCTTGATCAGCCAGATCAATCCGGGTAGTAAGGCTCGTTCCGTACGAGGGTAAATAAGAGTGGATGGGCTGGCTTGCTCGGCAATGACTTGGGGCACAGGGGTGGGCTGACATTACACACGACAACACTGCTGCTCAAAGATGCTCTTTGGTATGTTGGATTGAGGGGAGGGTAGGTTCTAATTGGTGCTCAACTGTAAACACAACCATACCCACTTTTCATACATCTGCAACATATTTTAGTTCTCTTATTAATTAGTTGGTTGACAGACTGCTAACACCTCACAGACAATTTAGTTTAGAATTGTTGTATACTACCATAGCCAGTTCTATGCAAACTTCTGTAAGTGAACTAATCATGAGAGTACTGAATTATGTTGACAGTCTTTTGTGAATGTTGTAGGCTGCCACTTGATCGGTCAAGTAGGGGAACTGCCGGACACATTTATTTTTAGAAAATTAGGTGCCGGTCAGACATATGTTGTGGTAGAACTCTAGCAGGGAGTTGTAGTGCAGATAGTGTTCGCCTAACTGATGAGCGGGTCAGACACGGATGAGGGTGGAGTTGACGATGTGAGACTAAAACATTCGGGATCACTTAGAGTCCCGCACATGTTCCAGACCTTACAACCGGAAGACGAAAGACGGCTTCATGCCGAACGCAGAGCCCATGCTCTAGCAGCAGCCCCAGGAAACAGCACTAGCTGCAAGTCAGGCGTTGGCAGCAGCAAACGCAGCAGCTAGAGAGCAGGCAGCAGCAGCCAGAGCAGCAACAATGGCTAACGGCGCAGCCTCTGCTGCATCCTCGTCAGGGACCCTGTTGGGAATGCCCTCAGGGCCCGCGGGTACTTCCGGATCAATAGGTGCTGGACAGTCCACAAGTCAAATTGCGGGCTCGTAGTTAAGCCCGTTGACCCCACGCGGAGGGAGCTCCTAGAGCTCCAACAGGTCGAAAGGATCTGCGAGCGGTTAGAGAGGGAACTAAAGCAAGCTACCGACAGAGAAAGAGAGATTAAAAATAGAACAGCCAGGCTTGATACGTTAGAGGCAGACAAAGCTGCATTAGAGGGATTTTAGATGAGTCAGCCATGTCTGGCCAAATGAAAGTATTGAAGAACAGTGTGTTGTCGCTGCATGCGCATATGGACAGCAGACTGGATTTCATGCAGAACTCTTTGGACCAGATCTTGGACCTTTTGCAAAGGCCAGGATTTCGGGCAGCAGCGCAGTCGCCGTTGTCGTTAACGGCGATGTCAAGCCCATTTCCGGTACAAGCTGGCACACAGCCAAGTGGTACGTCTGCAGCAGCCGCACAGGCTGTTGCTTCTTCTTCTTCTGGGTCAGCGGTGGTAGCTACACCATCACCACAACAACCTGTTCCTCAACAGGGACAGCAGCAAGGTCAATGGTACCCAAAGACCCCTATGAAACCACCCCTTGCCTTCTCCGGAGAGAAGAAGGATGAGGAACTCAACACATGGTTGAGAACGGTTCCAGTATGGGTAAGGGCAAAGAGGACTATGCAGGAGGAGGAGGTGATAACTGCTGCATCTTACCTGGAGGGTAAGGCAGCCAAATGGCTAGATAGATTAGTAGCAAAGGTCGGGTACGGACGACGCATGGCGGACTGGGCTAAGACCCTAACGTTAGAGGAATTCTTAGACATGGTAGACGCTCGCTGGCATAATCCACAGCAGGCACAAAGAGCCACTGATGCGATGCTCAGACTAGACCAACGAAAGTTCAAGTCAGTCAGAGAGCTTACGACTACCGTAGAGAGCCTCATTGTCGTTCCCGACATACGCTATGATGACCAGGTCTTGTTGACCATGTTTGTGAGATGTCTCCCAGAGAATCTCATAAATTTGCTGGCCAGCGAGGCTCGCCTTGAGTATCATTCGTTTGAGACCTTATCTAGAAAAGCCTTAGACTTAGAGGCCACGCTAGGAAGTGCTCAACCTACTCCAGTAGACGGGAGGAAGAAGAAGGGTCCACAGGAATGGAAGAAGAAGGGGAGCAAATTGATGATGGTTGAGTCCGATGGGACTCAAACTGAGATCGAAGAGCTCATAGACCTGTTGGACAGTACGGAGTACGACGGCGAGGAAACCCCTGAGGGTAGCACCCTCGCCGCAGTAGTTAAGACTAAGGCTGGTGGCCGAGGGAAGGGCCATCAAAAGAGTCAAGGGCAGGCTGCCTCCAACCAGACCAAAGTTGCTGATTGGGTCGAGGCAGGCCTTGATCAAGAAGTGTGGCGGGACCGCCGAGTGCGTGGTGCTTGCATCAATTGTGGTGAATACGGACACACCCAGTACAAGTGCAAAAACGCAAAGGTCACGCATAAGATACCTCCTAAGATGGAGGCACCTTCTTCCCAGGCTTCTAGCTCGGGAAACACGTGAGGCCGGTGGAAGTTTTAGCTGTTTCTACTCATGGTGAAGTGGGCCAGATACCCTCCCCACTTCATGAGATGGCCAAAGCTAATGACTCTTTAGTCACCCTGCAGACTCATCCAGACCAAACTATACTCTGTACGTTGGATGTGTCTGAAGCCTTAGAAGATTTGGAAAGTGAGTGGTCAAGTAAGGACCCTCGCGAATCTTGGATGGCACTAAGGAAAGGTCCTAGAGGGGAACATTTCATTGTGGAAGTTGATGTAGGAGGCCGCAAATGTGGTGCCTTCATAGACATCGGCTCCACGCGGAATTACATAAGTCGCGACTGCTTGGAAAGGTTGCACCTACAGGACCGGGTACATCACCTTAGTAGACCTGTAGCATCTACTTTGGCCAACAAGGAGCACATGGTTGTCACAGACTATATCAAGGATGTAGTCTGTACCTTCTCCTATGAAGGAGGGGAACTTAATCATAAGATTTCGTTCCGAATTAGCGACGACTTACCATTCGATATGTTGTTAGGGATGTACTACCTTGAGGTTGCCAAGCCCCAATTTGACTGGGACAAGAAGGTGCTAAAGCATAAGTTGCCTGATGGAAGAACAGTGAGGCTGACTAAGTTTAAAGTCAGTAGTATAATCGATAGCTATGGCTGCTTGTGTGCATCAGCGTTCTATAATTACTATAAACAGAACCAAGAGGAGGGTATGTACCTAGTGTATGTCTCTGAGAAAGGGGCGGCTGTTAAAACACCCCCAGAGATAGAACACGTCGTTGCTAAGTTCCCTGATCTGTTCACGGAGCCCACAAGGGTTGTTGATAGGGAGGTTGTCCACGCCATAGCAATCATTCCAGGGAGTAAAACCCCAAAGGGAAGGATCTATAGGATGGCTCCGGCTGAGTTGGATGAACTTCGGCGACAACTGAAAGAGCTGACAGAGAAGGGATGGATCCGGCCGAGTACTTCCCCCTACGGATCTCCAGTGCTATTTGTACCGAAGAAAGGGGGTACCTTGAAGATGTGCATTGATTATAGAGGCCTCAATGCCATCACAGTGAAAAACGTAGAGCCTCTACCTCGCATAGACGACCTACTGCATAGGGTGCAGGGATGTCAGTACTACAGCAAGATAGACTTAAAGTTCGGCTACCATCAGATCGCAATAAGACCTGAGGATCAACACAAAACTGCTTTTCAGACAGATATGGTCTATATGAGTTTGTAGTGATGCCCTTTGGCCTTTGCAATGCGCCGGGTACATTCCAGCATGCCATGAATAGGATCTTCCATGACCACTTGGATAAGTTTTTCGTCGTCTACCTTGACGATATTCTTATCTTTAGTAAGTCTGTTGAGGAGCATGTACAACACGTTTAGACTGTACTCTCACTCCTGCGACAGCACAAGTATAAGGTCAACCTAGAGAAATGTGAGTTTGGACGCACTAAGATCTTATACTTGGGTCATGAAGTATCTGCGGAAGGTATTAGGCCGGAAGATGCGAAGGTGGCTAGTATAAGGGACTGGCCACGAACTCAGACTGTTACTGAGGTCAAATCTTTCTTAGGAATGTGCGGCTACTGTAGAAATTTTGTGAAAAACTATTCCACAGTCGCCTCTCCTTTGACTGATCTAACTTGACTTGACACGCCATGGAACTGGAGTGATGAGTGCGAGGCTGCTTTCAAACGATTGAAGCATGCACTCATGAATCATGAAGTTCTTATGGTGCCCGATCCTCAGAAGCCATTCATAGTGACCACTTACGCAAGCCAATACGACATTGGCGCAGTGCTGGCTCAACAGGATGGGAAAAAGTTGAGACCGATTGAGTACATGAGCAAGAAGATGCCATATAAGAAACTGGCGAAGTCCACCTATGAAGGGAACTCTATGCTCTCTACAAAGCACTTGTCCATTGGAGGCACTTTCTGTTGGGACGGTGTTCCTACTTGAGAACTGACCATCAGACCCTAAAATGGATCAAGACTCAACCGGCTCTTTCTGATGCACTCAAGCGCTGGATTGAGGTCATAGATCAGTATGACTTCAAGCTAGAGTATCTGAAGGGAGAGTACAACAAGGTTGCAAATGCGCTGTCCCGTAGAGCAGATTACCTAGGGGCGCTAGTTTCTGAGTTTGGAGTATCTGAGGAACTAACTCAATCGTTGGTGGGAGCCTATCAGGAAGACCCTGACACGATGGACATCATACGCAAGCTTCAGGCAAAAGACAAGGCCACAAAAGATGAGTTTGTGATGGTGGACGGGCTTCTCTTTCTTGATAAGGCTGGATTTAAAAGGTTAGTTGTTCCATCTAGTGAACATTTGCGTAGTTTATTCTTAGGAGAATGTCATGACGCAACTGGTCACTTTGGCTACAAAAAGACGAGTGTCAATCTAGTACAACGATTTTGGTGGTCCGGAATGTTAGAAGATGCAAAGAAGTATGTTGAGACCTGTCAGGTCTGTCAGCGGGATAAGCCGCGAACTCAAGCACTGCTTGGGTTGCTGAAGCCTTTACCAATCCCCGCTAGTCCGGGACAGAGTGTTTCCATAGACTTCATGGACACCCTGGTGACCAGCAAGAGTGGCAAGAGACACATCTTTGTCATCATAGATAGATTCACCAAGTACGCTAGACTAATTGTCATGCCAGAGACCGCAAGGACTGAACACGTCATCAAGTTGTTTCTGGACAACTGGGTGCGTGATTTTGGACTACCGAAGTCAATCGTTAGTGACAGAGATGTCCGCTTCACAAGTGAGTTATGGAAGAAGACTGCTGAACAGATGGGCAGTCAACTTCAGATGACTTCAGGGAATCATCCTGAAGCCAACGGACAGGCCGAGCAAATGAACAGAGTTGTACAACACCTGCTGAGGCATTACATCAAGCCCAATCAGGATGAATGGGATGAGAAGTTGCCTCTCATCGCCAGCTTGTACAACAACGTTGTACACAGCAGTACCGGCGTTAGTCCTAATCAGTTGCACTTGGGATGGAAGCCTAGATCAGCTCTGGACTTCCTCCTTCCTAAAGACCGACCCTCTGCAACTCCAGGCACACTTGAGTATGGTGTGCAGTATGAGAAGTTGTTGCAGCAAACTGTCGAGCACATCAAGAAAGTTCAGCAAGCAGTGATTGCTTCTGAGAACAAACATCGTCAACAATCCTCATTTCAGGTAGGGGAACGTGTCTGGGTCAAGGCTAGTGAACTAGGACAGGAATTTGGAATCTCTCCTGGGAAGTCTTGGATATAGTTGGGGATGAGATGGATGGTCCTACCTATGTTATCCGGATCCCTAGTCACCTACGCACTCACCCAGTTTTTCATGCCTCAAAGCTTGCACCTTTTGCTGAAACAGACCAATTCCCTTCAAGGAGATCGATCCTGCCCCCAACCATGGATGGCCAAGTGGACATCGACGACATTGTAGATCACAAAGATTTGCCTATTCCAAAGCCGCTGGGTCAAGGAAGACCTCCCAAACCCAAGAGAGAATATCGCGTCAGATTCAGGCATCATACAGATCCAAAAGAAGATCGGTGGTTCACCAGAGAGGAACTGATATCAACTCCTCAAGTGGTGGCAGAATATGAGAGAAAGTTAAAAGGGAAGGCACCTGCGAAGTAAGCATCTCAACGGACTTTCGAAGCTAAGGGGGATGGAATGTGAGGATTGAGCCCTCCAAGGGGCCTTGCCGTGGTGTACATGTTCTGGGCCAAGGCCCCAAGCAAGCATCGTGCCCACCCTAAGTGAAGGCGGGCCAGCAAATCAACAAGAGCCCTCTGTTCAGACATTTCATGAAGTGGGGTCCATACAGTTGCTGCATGCCAGTTGGTTGGAGTGCACTGAGTACCGGATCTCTGCAAATTGCAGAAGGACCAGGGCCCATCTCAGTTGGTTAGGCCCTGGGCACATAAACGTGAGGCAGACATTGCATACTGGAAATAGAGGCCGAAAATGCCAATGGGATACCGGTCCACTATCTGAATCTGGACGCAGGCCTAGATGAAAGAGGCACAACTGTACTGCGTGGGCCCCAACCGCATTGGGCCTGGGTACAGGTACTGGGGCCGAGGCGCAGGCTCAAGGGAGGCCGCCCACACGCAACACCGGCATATAGGCAGAGAGGGCGAGGGGGCGGGGATCTTGGCCATTGCGAGCAAGGCCGGCACGCTGCTGCATTGCGAGTGTGCCTGCGCTGCGCTAGGCTGAGTGAGGGCAGGCTGGCGCTAAGCGGTGGAGCGCAGCCTGGGCGCAGGGCGCTGGCGGCCATAGCCGGGCTGCCTGTGGGCGCAGAGGAGGTGAAGGGCRAAGGTGGTTCTTCGGAGGTGWAGGGCGCTGTGTGGGATAACAAGGGAGAGTGAGGGTGAAGARAGAGACGTACCTGGTGGAGAGGAGGTCGRCATTGGTGTTGACATCATCACYCRTTGGTCGTCAAGTTGTCYGGTTGCTTCCATGCTGTAGTTGTAGTGATAGGCTGTAGAGTAGGTAGGGCGCCTGGCGCCATTCAAGAGAGAGAGCTACATTGGGTTATGCTGTTGGTGTTGCCCGATTGGGCTTGGACATTGACTCACAATTCTTCTGTATCATTCTCAAATGGATGGTTACTCGGTTCCATTGTGCTATCTGCTCTTGATTTGACTGCTTGGACTTCAGTGTGATTTTGCAACTTGGATTTCTGTGCTTCGTCCATACTCATGTTCCTTGCATATGTGTGTGCTAATCACCTATACTTTATCTATGTGGAAGTGGGAGCTTGCCTTTGTCACTCTGTGTGCTATGTGTGCACTAAGCACTTGACCTCTGTGAAAGTGGCAGTTTGCCTATGTGTGCTATGCGTGTGCTAAGCACATATACTTGCTATGTGCGCAAGTGGGAGCTTGCCTATGTCACTTTGTGTGCTATGTGTGTGCTAAGCACCTATACTAGATTCGTAAGCAAGTGGGAGCTTGCCTATGTGTGCTATGTGTGTGCTAAGCACCCAGCTAAAATGTGGTAATTGTTCCACAAAGGTCATGACACGAAATCTTCTAGGGGTTAGGAATAGTGGATCCAGCCGGTGTGTGGCTTGCATGTTTTCATGGACAAAGTCATGTGAGCTGAACGTGGAGAGTCGCACCTGCAGGGCCCGTGTGAACAAGTTGCAGTGGGATGGAGTGAAGAGGTGTCGACCACAGTGTTGAAGCATACTCCCCAACGACTATGGATGGGTGCACTCGCACAGAGGTGGGTTTTTCGAGCGAGCCTATCCTTGTTCATGCCCAGATACACTTCCGGAAGCCTCGGTGTCCGAATGTTGTTTGCTATTGCTACTGTGTGCTTCCTCATGGCTTTCATCTGTAGCAGTGGGCATCGAGGAGAGAGCAGGGATGAACATGACAAACAACATATATGAAACAGTTTGTCACAGCCCCTTGTTTGTTGTCCTTTTCTCCCTCTCTGCCTACAGTTTACCGGGAAGCTCTGTTTGACGATATATACATGAGAGAGAGAGAGAGAGAGAGAGAGAGAGAGAGAGAGAGAGAGAGA